ATATTATTCTTTGTTTCAATGCAAGTTCAATGCCGTATAGCATTTGGCATTTGGATTATCCGTCTTAGAGTTACAGCCCGCCAAAGTTGGCGCTGCAACGCAAGATCCAAAACATGTTATACATTATAACTCAAAAAGTACTCTAGCCTGAAATTGTCACAGGAGGATTCAGAGCCCCTGATTACCCCTTAGACCAATTATCGTTAAAATCCGAGAGATGAGGGTGTCAAATTGGAAAAAAGTGGTACGATCTATCGTGGAATGCCCCACGTGTCACGTGACCTAAGGTCAACTTTTGACCTTTCGACCTTTCGAGGTCAACATACATATGTTTCGATGCGGATCGAGAGGATCACGATGGTGCTATTAGTTTGTTCCTAGCTGGGATACCCTGAAAGTTATTCGAGAAAAACTTCATATATATGTAGTGCCGCAATTTTGACTTCCTTTCTGCTCCTGTGACGTCATCTTTTACCTGACCTGAAAATGACCTCAGTAAAAATTATAGACCTTATCCGTGTGTACCCTGCACCGTTTACTCGTTTACTGCTTGTCGCTATCTTGCTTTATTCTCGAGATCTCGCTGTCGCTCCCGCTCGTAATAATGGACAGGTCATAAAAATGACCTGAGGTCAACGCAGGGCGATAGCCACTTTTATCATCGCATATGAATGACAATTGATAAGGCTTTAAACGTCATCAGACAAAATTGCAACTTTCAGTGGGGAAAATATCAAGGTATATCAAGGTATTAAATATCAAGGTATCAAGGTATAAATATCAAATATCTTCGAAAAATAGGTCAAAAGGTCACGTGATCAAAATTTTCAAAAATTGAAAATCCGAGATAGCCAAAAATGCTTGTTGGTTGATTGTGAGTTGAACCATCTAAAGGTTTTATCGTAGAAAACAATAGTTTCTGAGTTATAGGCCGCCAAACATAGGGCTGCAGCGCGACCTCCAGGAATTGCTCGAGGCTATATCTAAGAAACCGTTATTCGAAGAAAAAATCCTTGCCACAGCTGGCTTCCCCGCCCATCACAACCCATTAGAACAATTTTAAGCAAAAAATAAAATATGAGGGTGCAGGGCACTTGTCGATTTGTCGTGGAACGCCCCTGCAGCTCTGTTGAAGCTCGCGGCCGACGGCGGCTCGCCGAGCGCCGCGCCGTAGGTCCCTGGCTGGTTCGCCTGATGCCAGCACCCAGCAGTGTAGGTACTATCTAGTGGTGCAAGTCACAGAAAATCTACGCCCAATGTCCGTAAAATGTCCAGTACCTTCGTAGACTGTCCGTCCAAAAATGTCAAGCCAGCAATTTGTTCACCTACAGATATCCGAAAACTACGCAATCGTTCACTTTCAACACTGTTATTTAATTGGCTTTTAATGTTATCTTTCCAACCAAAAAGTGATTGTCGGATCGAGAGCTGGAGCTTTCTATTCGTCAATCAATGCTATACGTGATTACTTTATTAAAATGCTGAAGAGTACCTACCTAGCAAGTGATTGTCCAATGTTGGTCCAGAGCCTGCTGCCTCTGTCCAGCCAAATTCCGTAGGTATTGAAATTTGGACATTGGACAAAATCGGAATTCCGAGGGTTGAGGTTCCGATTGGCGCCACAACTAGCAGTAACCTGTAACCATCCCTGGCCCTGCGGCCCTACCGCGCCGGGCCGCTGACGCTGCCGTCTGCCCGTGCCGGCGGCACCCCGGGCGGGATGCGGGCGGCAGCGGCCGCTCGCTGCACAGGGTCGCCGTGTGGCGGCGCTCCGGACGCCGCCCGCCCCCGAGCCAGCCCCGCCGAGCGCCGACTCCGTGACGCGCACAAGGGTCCGTGAGCTCCGACCGGCACCGTCACAGAGGTGAGCTCCCGCTGCCGCACCCGGCCGCCGCCCCGCCCATACCCCGCTACTGCCCGCGTCCTCTACCCGGCCCACGAGCTGCCTGCCCGCACTGAATCGACACTTACCGGGGTTACATGAGCAAGTAAATGCGTATCAGGAACGGATTTTCCTATTCGCTCACCATTGTAGTCCGTTTGTAATTCGTATTAACTCTGCTCATGTAACCCCGAGCACTGTTTCATTACTCCGTTTTGTGAGTACCGAAATAACTTCACTGTCACTCATGGGCGCCTAACGTCATGTGAATAAGCGATAAACCTTTTTGGGCTCGACTTCGGTGCTCGGGGTTTTACGTCTTCAAACTCATTTTCAAAGTTCTTAATATCTGCCTCTGGTGCTTTTCTCTTGGCGTGGATTAATTATGGAAAACGTTACTATTTTCATACGATCATCTCTTCGAATTTCAATATAGGTCGCCGGTCAGCTCAGCTGAGATCCGTCTGTTTTGCTGAAATATGTTCCCTTGTGCTACGGTCGCTGGCCGCTACTTATTTCTGAATTTTTAACTCGTAGACGCGACACTCAGAAATGAATATCCTTATCCAATATACATAGAGTGTTTTGATTGTCAATACAATACAATACATTTTCCGGCATACAACTGCTTTCATTAGAAGCCATTATCATTTTTCAGTATAGTGTATCGTATCTTTAAGCATTTGAGTCTTTCATTGCCTGAACGTACTAAACCTGGCGTTGATTCACGATCGTCCGCAATGGTCGCTCTCCAGGACTTCACTGGAAGTGATACCTATTGACTGGTAATTTGTCGGTACCATTTATTGCCTGTATAGAAATCGTTCTCCATGTGGCTGTGCTGTTCGGCTCTGGCCTCTGGCCGAGGAAGGGTGGTTATTATTAGCAGGACTACGGCAAGGAAATCCATGGTGGGAGGGGCCGGCGGCGTGTGTCCCGTCCTGACTGGTCGGGCTGGGGCTCGGCCCGGCCGCAGCGCCTTTGCTAAATTAGCCGGACCGCCAGCCGACGGCCCCGGCCACGACCCGAGGCCGGCGCGCGGCGGACGAAGCAGCGTCTGTCGGCGGCGCTGGGACGTCGGCCGCGCCGGTCCCACCAGACCGGGTCTTGGCTGCACAGCGCGCACGCCACTCATCATCAAGGCCGTCATAGTCGGCACCGCAGTCGCTCGGCACGCGCCTCGCTGCACTGCGGCTCTGATGATATGCCGTCTAATTATTAATTACATCAACGCGCTGTAGCATGGTGCACCGTCTTTCTACTAATTTAGGAATTTACGAAAAGAAATAAGTGAACTTCGAACTCCGGATGAGGTTCAAACCGTGATGCGGAGAACGGCAACATTCTAGTTTAATTCTACGTAGTACTTTTACTAGAATAGACCCGCGGTCGATATTGTGTACGGCTTGTTCGCAGTTAGGGCGCACCGAAATCCGCGCGGCCCATGGCCTTTGCATGCCGGTCGGTGGGCCAGCCAAGGTCAAACATGGCAGCCGCCCTGCAGCCAGCACAGAGCGTCGGCGGGCGGGAACGGACGGCTGCAGCCTGACCTCGGGGACGCTGGACGATGGACGGTGACGGGACCAGACCGGGCACCGAGACGGAGCTGACGGGAACACCGAGACTGTGACGGGAGCACCGAGACTGACGGGAGCACCGAGACTGTGACGGGAGCACCGAGACTGTGACGGGAGCACCGAGACTGTGACGGGAGCGCCGAGACTGTGACGGGAGCACCAAGACTGTGACGGGAGCACCAAGACTGTGACGGGAGCACCAAGACTGTGACGGGAGCACCGAGACTGAGCTGACGGGACCGGACCGGGCACTGAGACGGAGCTGACGGGAGCACCGAGACCACTGGCGGATCCTGGGGGGGGTCCACGGGGTCATGACCCCCCCCAAAAGGTCTGAGAGGGTCATTTGACCCCCCCCAAAAGCCGAAGACCTAAATGCGCTATAGACGCCGTCTTGCATGCTCAAAATCACCTGTCAAACACTTCTGAGCTAATACCTTTGTTTTTCTGGATCGTGTTGCGTGAAAAGGCGTATTGAAGACCAGAATCTTACTCGTTTTTGTCTCAACCGTGCGAGCACCAGGGGATGATCCAGGAAAACTCCAAGGGGATGGTCATGAATTTAATTCGTGGTGCCCCTACCTATACGCAAAATTAAAAACTCAACGGATTTCGGTCACTTAATTTTGGTGATGTCCTATTTTCATTTTTTATTTTGTTTGTTTTATTTTTAGTGCCCCTGGGCCCTGGCAGGTCAAAATCACGTCTGAGGCGAAAGAAATTCACGGGAATCCCAAAAATCACGTCAGGACATTCAGGGCCCTCTGACCAGCCTGACAGCTAGGGCCCTTCTTACTTCCTGGGGCCTCCAGTGAATAACCGCTAGTGTCTGTGTCTGACCGCTAGGGCCCCTCTGACTCCTCAGTAGGTAGGAGGCCCTCTGTAGAGGAGGTCCTCTGTAGAAAGGAGGCCCTCAGTAGAGAGGAGGCCCCCTGTAGAGAGGAGACCCCTTTAAAGAGGAGGCCCTCTGTAGAGAGGAGACCTGCTGTAGAGAGAAGGCTCTATGTAGAGAGGAGGCCCTGTGTAGAGAGGAGGCCCTCTGTGGAAAGGAGACCGCCTGAATGCAGAAGGCCCTCTGAAGAGTGGAGACCCGCTGTAGAGAAGAGGCCCTCTGAAGAAAGGAGGCCCTCTGTAGAGAAGAGGCCCTCTGAAGAGAGGAGGCCCTTTGCAGAGATGAGGTCCTCTGGCTCTTTGAAGAGAGGAGGCCCTCTGTAAAGGAGGCCCTCTTAAAGGGAGAGACCCTCAGTAGAGAGGAAGCCCTCTGTAGAGAGGAGGCCCTGTAGCTTCTGTAGTTAAGAGGCCCTGTGAAAAGAGGAGGCCCGCAGTAGAGATCGGTGGTCCTCTGTAGAGAGGAGGCCCCCTCTGTGTTTTGACAAATGTTTTTGCAAATTTTTCGCGGCGCTTCGCGCCGCCGATTTATGTACATACGTACAGGTCAATACGAAATCTTGACTGTAATTACCTAAACCAACCGTGTCAAATTGAATCAGAATTCATATGTGTGCTGTAAAGGAACTCCGGCTTGTACTGCAATGCTAAAAGGGTGGTAAAATTTGTGTTTTGGAGCTGTGTTTCGACACATTCTTTTGCAAATTTTCTCGGCGCTTCGCGCCGCCGATTTATACACCAATCAATAAGAGAGAAATAACAGTGACTGTAATAACACCAACCGTGTCAAATTGAATCGGAATTCATATGTGTACTGTGAAGGAACTCCGGCTTGTACTAGCATGCTAAAAAGGTTGTAATATTTGTGTTTTAGAGCTGTGTTTTGACAACTTTTTTTTTGCAAATTTTTGCGGCGCTTCGCGCCGCCGATTCATACACAGGTCAATAAGAGAGATCGTGACTGTATGCTACTATTTACTAATGCATTAGGCTAAAAGTGAGGTAACTATATCTACTTCTGGGTTTTTAAGTCGGTCGACCCGCCTCCCCCCCCCCCAGTAAAAAATCCGTGGCGACGCTCCTATATAGGTGGGTTTCACTAACTAAAACTACTGAGCCGAGTGACTTACGATAAAACTTCATCTTATAAACGACGAAGATCAAATGTCATTTTTTGATCTCGACATACTCGCTCCCTACCACCCCCCCCCCCCCGGTCGTCAGAATTCATTCACCAGACCTGGTATGTCGGCCGACTGGTGACCCCCCCCAAAACGACCCCCTAGATCCGCCCTTGACCGAGACGGAGCTGACGGGAGCACCGAGACTGTGACGGGAGCACAGAGACGGAGCTGACGGGAGCACTGAAACGAAGCTGGGCAGGTCATCCTAATTCCAAAGGAACAGACCAGTAACACATACTGATTCGCTTACACAGCAACTCCGGCGTAGGTAGGTATACCGCGCTTTGACAAGTACCAGTACCTATGCAACGAACTTTGGATAATTACTTCACGTGAGCATGCGTGAGCTTTTAAATCTAATGGAGACGCCTGCCATGATATCGTTCGGCATATTTTTCAATGTGGTGTGTTTAAAGTGAATCCTACTGCTTTAGTTGTGTGCTTTGGTGTTTTATGTTCGCGGCCGTTCAACTGATATTCGCGATGGTTTTTCTTAGGGCGATGAAATTAGGAGATGACGACGTTGATTGGGAAGTTGAGGCGTCACGACGCTTCTGGCTCGTGGAGCGTGCGAGACCCTCTTAGCCCCACTGGCGCCCAGCTGGCAGCCCGAGGAGCATGGAGTTCTTGGAGTCTCCGGATGGTGTGACTGAGCCCTGAGGCTCCCAGAGAGGCGTGGCCGACCGGCTCCGAGGAGCCTGCGAGGAGCGGCGGAGGTGGCTGGGTGTTGGCCCGGTGCCGAGCACGGGCCAACGCAGCCCCCCGGCCGGCGCTGTGGTACGGTCCCGTGGTCTGCTCCGTGCTCTGTCGGTATAGTTCGGTCCCGTGTTCTCGGTATGGTATACGGTCCCGTGTTTTATCAATATGGTATGGTCCCGTGTTCTGTCGGTATGGTACGGTCCCGTGGTCTGCTCCGTGCTCTGTCGGTATAGTTCGGTCCCGTGTTCTCTGTATGGTACGGTCCCGTGTTTTGTCAGTATGGTACGGCCTCGTGTTCTGTCGGTATGGCACGGTCCATTGTTCTGTCGGTATGGTACGGTCCCTTGTTTTGTCGGTATGGTGCGGTCTTGTATTCTGTCGTCATGCTACGGCCCCGTGGTCTGTCTGTATGGTACGGTCCCGTCTTTTGTCGGTATTATACGATCCCTTGTTCTTTCGGTATGATACGGTCGGGCCGGTCCCGTATTCTGTCCGTTGGTATGGTACGGTCCTGTATTCTGCCTGTATGTTACGGTCCCGTGTTCTGTCGGTATGGTATGGTTCCGTGTTCTGTCGCTGTGGTAAAGTCTCGTGTTCTGACTGTATGGTACGGTCCCGTGTTCTAACTCGTCAGTATGGCACGGTCCCGTGTTACTCTACGGTACGGTCCCGTGTTTTGTCGGCATGGTACGGTGAACGGTCCCGTGTTAAAGGGACCCTCCCACCTTCAAAAAAGTTAATGAATTGGCACGAAAGTGATGTCGCTCGGTTCAGAAAGAGCGAAAACGAATATCTACCAAATTTCATCGAAAAATATTCACCGGTTTTCAAGATATTAGACTTTTACTTTTGTTTACTTTTTGGGATCTCCGCTGTTCCTAGCGACTTTATTTGAAAGTGCGGCATTTGTTGCGCGCAAAGCAGCATATACCACCGCGTGCTACCAAACGTTTTAGTAAAAGATTTAAAAATCGTTAGATCTCCGCTGACGTCACAAATTCTAAGGGGGCATACCAATGCACTAGCCCCTTAGAATCCGAAAACTGCAAGTTTGAAATTCCATATCTCCGAATTAAAGCATTTGTCGATGTTGTGAGTGCCCAAACCGGTATTTGCAGGCCATGGCCACCAATTTGGCTATCTCAACTCAAAACTAATGTTAAGGTGGGAGTGTCCCTTTAAATCTGTCGGCATGGTGCGGTCCCGTGGTCTGTCTGTATTGGTCCCGTGTTCCGGCTGTTGGTATGGTACGGTCTCGTGTTTTGTCGGTATGATATGGTCCCGTGTTCTGCCGGTATGTTACGGTCCCGTGTTTTGTCGGTATGGTATGGTCCTGTGTTCTGTCGGTATGGTACGGTCCCGTGTTTTGACTGTATGGTATGCGTGTTCTGTCGGTACGTTTCCTTGTTTTGCCTGTATGTTACGGTCCCGTGTTCTATCGGTATGGTACGGTCCCGTGTTCTATCGATATCTTACGGTCCCGTGTTCTATCGGTATGGTATGGTCGCGTGTTCTGTCGGTATGGTACGGTCCCGTGATCTGTTTGTATGGTACGGTCTGTGTTCTGTCGGTACAATGCGGTCCCGTATTCTGTCTGAATACGGTCCGTGTTCTGTCTGAATATTACGGTCCGTGTTCTATCGGTATGGTATGGTCCGTGTTCTGTCTGTATGGTACGGTCCCTATCCTGTTTGCACGGTTTCACCATTTACGAGTGACCCATATCCCTACTGGCGCGGTGTCGGGCACGACACTGGCCTGTTCGGCACGCCATCCGGTCCCCGTTTGAGCTGGGAGTGGGCTCCCCCTGGGGACCTCTCGAGTAATTTGGTTGCCGGCTGACAAGGCGCTCGATCCGTTTTCAGTCGCCATGAACGTCCAGTCGGCACCGCAGGGCAATAACATCCAGGTGCAGGGTCTGCAAGGAGGAGTGGCCGGCCGCTGCTCTAACTGCCAGGTCAGTGCACACTGCTACCCCTTTACCTTTCTCTCAATCTGTCCCTCCGTAACAAGATTCCTAGAAATAGGAAATGCAAATCCCTATGACGTATACGTTCCTGGACCGGCTGGCGCAGGCTGGAACCGGTGGCGGCTGGCAGCGGGGAACCCCCGCCGGTTTCGGGAACTCCCCGCTTCCCGAAGCCGGGCCGATGTTTTGCGCATTGCGAAGGGTTCTGACTGAGCGCGACGCCCTGCCGCCGGCGGGCCGGTGACGCGCTTTCTCCATTGGCGCCCTTCGCACAAACACGGGTGAATCATCGGGCCTGGTCTGGGTCAATCCACAGTGTATGGAGGTCCATCAGCGGCCGAGCGGCGGGCCGTCGGGCCCGGAGCACGGTCGGGTGCCAATGGACTCGGACCAGGCCGGGGCCCATGAGTTCCATAGCTGGTGTGGACCGATATACCTACGGCAATATGGACATGGTGTCGACCGATTACGACCACTTTTGGCCCTTTGGGGCGCCGCAACAGCACCAGTTTCACAATTGATCAGGCTCGCCAATCCGCTTCGCACTTGCTTATCGAGCCGCCGACATTTCATGCAACGTAATTCCGGAAGTTGCGCTACGTATGAATAAATAAAGCCTTATCCATCGGTGAAATTACAATTATGCCAAGCGTCAGGCTGTGCAATGTGCATGGCCACTGGGCGGCTGGTGCCGGCGCCCTTCTGTCAACTGATTGGCGGCAGACGTCTCGGTAAGCCCGGCTCGTCCGACATAAACAGAGGGGGGCCGACCGGCCGGCTTTGGGCGCCGCCGCCCCCCCCCCAGCGGGGGCGGTTCAGGGTCGCCGGTGCTCTGGTCGGGTCCGCCAGCCGCGCCGCTGCCCTCGCCAACCGCCGAGCCGGCGCTGGCCCGTCCGCTCCACCTATTAGAGAGGTAAAATTGGACCATGCAGCAGCACCCGGCTGCCAAAAACCAATGGAGCTGGCGATTTGCACATGTTGTGGACCCGGCCCGACAGGGCGTCCGACTGAGAGCTGTATGGAGACTAACTAGATCAATAAATACCGCAAACATCCGCATTTCGCTGCTTTCATTTCAAGCTGTCAATGCAAAAAGCATTGTTCTCAAATGGGAGTGTTTCAATAGCCGTATGTGATGCAAAAGTTCGTAGAGTTACACATGAAGGACATCACATATACGTAGCCTACTCGTCCCGTGCCGTGTACCGTCCCTTACCCGCCCTTTGTGACGTGTCCGACACCTGCCGTACAAGTGTTCGTCTGTGTGCCGCTGCCCCTAGGCGTGTGCCCTGTGTCTGTGTGTCTGTGACCTGTAACCTGTGTACCCCGTGTCTGTGTCTGTGTACCCCGTGTCTGACACCCGTGTACCCCGTGTCTGACACCCGTGTACCCCGTGTCTGTGACCTGTGTACCCCGTGTCTGTGACCTGTGTACCACGTGTCTGTGTCTGTGTACCCCGTGTCTGTGTCTGTGTACCCCGTGTCTGTGTCTGTGTACCCCGTGTCTGTGTCTGTGTACCCCGTGTCTGTGACCTGCTGTGTACCCCGTGTCTGTGACCTGCTGTGTACCCCGTGTCTGTGTCTGTGTACCCCGTGTCTGTGACCTGCTGTGTACCCCGTGTCTGTGTCTGTGTACCCCGTGTCTGTGACCTGTGTACCCCGTGTCTGTGTCTGTGTACCCCGTGTCTGACCTGTGTACCTTGTGTATGTGACCTGTGCACCCCGTGTCTGTGTCTGTGTACCCCGTGTCTGTGACCTGTGTACCTTGTGTCCAGGGTTGTGCTTGACTCATGAGTCGAGTCAGAAATTTGACTCAACTCTGACTCAAATGAGTCAGATTTGAGTCGAGTCGGATAAAAGGTTGAGGTGTTGAGTTGAGTCAGAGTTGAGTCGGACAAAAATATTAAGGTGTTGAGTTGAGTCAGAGTTGAGTCAGTAAAATAACTTTTGACATTGAGTTGAGTCAAGAACATTTAGGAACATGAGTCAGCTGACTCAACTTTTTAGAAACAATATATAGTATAAGTTTTTCATTCTCCCCCCGCTTAACAACTTACGCCTGGCCCTGCTGCCGGATTTTTTCAACCCCCCCCCCCCCCCGCTCAACAACTTTTTTATCTGAGTCAATTTTGAGTCAACACACTTGACTCAACAAAAAATTTGAGTCAAGTTTGAGTCAACTCATCTTTTCATTGAGCCGCTTAAGTCATGAGTCGAGTCGAGGGAAAAAATCAGCTCCTTGTTTGAGTCAGAGTTGAGTCAGGCCATTCTGAAGTTGAATGATGAGTCGAGTCGGCAAATTTTTTTGAGTCGAGCACAACCCTGCTTGTGTCTGTGACCTGTGCACCCCGTGTCTGTGTCTGTGTACCCTGTGTCTGTAACCTGTGTACCCCGCGTCTGTGACCTGTATACCCCGTGTCTGTGGTCTGTATACCCCGTGTCCCTGACCTGTAACCTGTGTACCCCGTGTCTGTGGTCTGTATACCCCGTGTCTGTGGTCTGTATACCCCGTGTCTGTGGTCTGTATACCCCGTGTCTGTGACCTGTAACCTGTGTACCCCGTGTCTGTGACCTGTAACCTGTGTACCCCGTGTCTGTGACCTGTAACCTGTGTACCCCGTGTCTGTGACCTGTGTACCCCGTGTCTTTGCCTGTGGTCTGCGTACCCCGTGTCTGTGACCTGTGTACCCCGTGTCTGTGTCTGTGTACCCCGTGTCTGTGACCTGTGTACCCCGTGTCTGTGACCTGCGTACCCCGTGTCTGTGACCTGTGTACCCCGTGTCTGTGGCCTGTGTACCCCGTGTTTGTGACCCGGTACCCCGTGTCTGTGACCTGTGAGCTGTGTACCCCGTGTCTGTGACCTGTGTACCCCGTGTCTGACACCCGTCCGGTCTGCGCCGGCAGAACGGCGTGCTGACCGACTCGTTCACGCCGTGCGGCATCGTGCTGGCCATCTGCTTCTTTCCGCTGGGCCTGCTCTGCTGCTGGATGATGCGGGAGAAGCAGTGCAACATGTGCGGCGCCAAGCCGGCCATGCAGCCGTAGAGCGGTCGGCGGTCCGGTCGGCGGTCCGGTCGGTCGGCCGGTCGGCGGTCGGCGGTCCGGTCGGTCTCCGGTCGGCGGTCGGCGGTCGGCGGGCCGGTCGGCAGCTGTGGGGACAGAGGGAGAGCCGGGGCCGGCTCGGCGCTGCGGCCGGAGGGACTCTGTGAGATGAGCTGCGTGGCCGAGGCGGGCTCCGAGCGGCTGACTCTGTCCCCCGCCACCAGCGGCGGCAGCGGTGCAGAGATGCCGCCAGCGACCAGCGCGGCGGGCCACAGACTGCGTGTTCAGTGAGCTGGCGAGGTGCTCCGGGCCACGGTGTCTGCAGCGGTGTTCACTGTTCAGTGTTCATGCCAGTATCGGCTGCCTTAGCGTCAGTGCCGTTCATCGCTTCATCGTTTTTATCTCCCAGACATGCCTCCCAGTCGCCTACTGATTCGTTCATTGCTTCTGAATGGCACGCGTTCCTATCTATGGATCGTGTGAGTGACTGTCATTGACATTGATAACTGGTCCTTATTTCCCACGGAGAAGTGCTAAGGTTCTTCTTTGCACAGCATCCCAATGCAGTGCCGGGCACCCTTTTTCTTATATATTCCTTCATTTTAATTTTTACTAAGTGCAGAACAACCGCGAAATGACGCTGTCTGTACTTGTAGGATTGTATAGGTACCGACCGCAAATACCAGCAAGGTCCTGTACTTTTCTATTCGTTTGGTAGCTTACATGGTTCACTTTCCATCTGTGTGAGATTGCCGCAGCTTTTAGATCGGATTTTGCACAGCTGTTGGTGTTTGTTCATTCACAAGCGTTTTAGTGTGTGTGTGTGTCGTATGGACGAACCAGTAAGCCGCTGGAAGGTTCCCTTCATGATATATGACTATAGCCATTTAAAATAACTTTATACCGATCGCAAGAAAATCGTGTCACAAGACTTGGTGCTCGTGTTTGCTAGCTGGTTTTTGTAGGTACGTACCTATTACATGATACAGAAATGCACATTTTGTTCAATAATGTAGTAAAATTTGGCGGGCCGGGCCATTAAAACGTCTCTGATGCGTAAGGGCCCAACCCTTAGCATTCCCATTTCGGCCGTGCGCCCGCCACTCGAGCTTCGATTGCCAATCGCTTGCATGTGAAGTGCCGGGGGCCGTGAATCGTTTACGCTTCTGTCACGTATTTTAATACAGACTTTGTTTATTTCCTAGAATTCAATGTTTGACTAAGGGTCAATGCCTGGACAGTGTTAGAAATGAATGTCAAGATATTGGTAAAGTCAAGATATTGGCTAGCTCGCTAGCTGATCTAACTCTCATCCGGATAACCTACATGAAAATGGTGAATTATTTTAGTACCGATCATGTAGTCAACTTCGAGAACGTCGCAACCTGTACTACCAGCAGTGCACTGGACTGTCCTCCCACTACCGCGCCCTCTGCTCCAGACACTGGTTCTGTCTTTCTTTGGCCGTGGGGTGGCAGCACTACTGGGGGCACCCGAACCAAACTCTAATCCAATTCATCTCCCTATGCAGTATGCCTACGTGCATGTGCGACTCCCGCCCGACAGCGACGGTTTGTGCGGCTGTGCCCTGTATCGGACACAGTGAGCATGGATAGTGGATAGGGTCGAGCGGCAGCCACTGCTGAGTGCTGACCGCCCCTATCTTGATCTCTATTATTCTCTACTGCACTGTGACAAAATACTGCCGAGTGCCGTCATTGCTACCGAGGGCTGTACCGGATAGGACCAATGGCAAGGCAAGGGTTGCACCGCGGGTTTGTCACGAATGTAGCGAAGTGAGATAGATCATGCATGCCTTATGCATGCTGAGTAGGTACTGAGATAAACTTTGCGAAAATCTTCATAGCTCTGCTGTGGAAGAGAGCACCAAATAATGAAACATATTTCCCTTATATGTTATCCTGCAGGTCTTAGGCGTAAGCTACGGCATGTGAGCAGAAAGTGTTAAAATTGTAAAGATCGACGATTTTTCGAACACCTCTCGCCACTCATACTCTTTTGGTCATAGGCGGCGGAACGGGGAGGGCACCGGGGCACCGTGCCCCCCTTTGATTTTGGCATTTTAACATTAGCCCTATGGGCGTTGCATGGAAAGAATGGGACCAAAAGTCGGCAGTGCCCCCCTTAATTGAGGGTGTTCCGCCGCTAGTGCTTTTGGTCCATGTCTCTCGAGAGCCCCGGCGGAGGAAAGCAGTGCTTTGAAAGCGGTGAAACCCGACTCAAACCATCGCGCCTTTATTTGCTACGACTCAGATTGGACCTCACCGGATTGGACTATTGCTAGAACGCTGGCATAAAACTACATTCTTTCATTATCAATATTATGATAACCTCTGGTACATATGCGAAGATTTTCTTAAATTAGAAATTAGAATACTGGAAATGTTACAGATATCCATAGTTTTGTCACCTTATGACACCTTGATAATTTCCATACGGTGTCTCTTTTATCAACGGCGCTCTTGTTTCATATACGACGCCAATATCAGCTGTTCTTTTTGCAGGCAGTGAGTTGATACTAGTAGCTGATGTTCACAAAAACCAATCGAATATCGTCATATCTGCACGTGCATATAGTTGCATCATATTCACATTCAGATTCCCGTGCACATTCGCGGACCCCTTCGATTTGGCTGAAAATTGCACAGTAGATAGACCATGAGCTCCTAAGTGCAAAAATCATCTTTTTATTTACCGACATTAAGTATTTTCCAAGTTATTCACGTTTGTTTTACTAGTACAATATTCTGGTTAGTAAACTTCCCGGAAAAATCGGACCTCATCAAATTTCAAGAAAATTTCAGAAATGATTAAGACTCAGTAGTTCTTTACAAAAAACTAATTTGCATCAAACGTGGTCGCATAGTTTCCTCAGGAGAAGTCTCTAAAGTTCAAGGTCGTTCAAGGTCATGCAATTTTTCTCACTTTTTGGAGTCGTTTTACACGTGACAGTTTCGTATTTATGAAGGACATTAGCTATACATACTGCAATAACAATATACTAAGCACCAGAGGCATTGTTAGACCAAAGGGCGAAAAACAGTCGATAAACCTATTGAGCAAAGCCAAGAGGCAAATACAAGTGATATTCAGATTTCCCGTCCTAAAGTGAACTTGCCGGACCCCTCCGATTTCGTTCAAAGTCACAGGAATGATGCTCCTTGACCTCCTGAACACGAAAATAGTGCTCCTTTTGACCGACATCAAAGACTTTTCCAGATATACGCATGCGTGCACATTGAAATTGCATATGTTGCATATGGCACGTTGGGCGGACCCCTTCGATTTCGCTCAAAATCACAGGAATGATGCTCCTTGACCTCCTGAACACGAAAATAGTGCTCCTTTTGACCGACATCAAAGACTTTTCCAGATATACGCATGCGTGCACATTCAAATTGCATATGTTGCATATGGCACGTTGGGCGGACCCCTTCGATTTCGCTCAAAATCACAGGAATGATGCTCCTTGACCTTCTGAACACGAAAACAGTGCTACTTTTGACCGACATCAAAGACTTTTCCAGATATACGCATGCGTGCACATTCAAATTGCATATGTTGCAAATGGCACGTTGGGCGGGCCCCTTCGATTTCGCTCAAAATCACAGGAATGATGCTCCTTGACCTCCTGAACACGAAAATAGTGCTCCTTTTGACCGACATCAAAGACTTGTCCAGATATACGCATGCGTGCACATTCAAATTGCATATGTTGCATATGGCACGTTGGGCGGACCCCTTCGATTTCGTTCAAAATCACAGGAATGGTGCTCCTTGACCTCCTGAACACGAAAACAGTGCTACTTTTGACCGACATCAAAGACTTTTCCAGATATACGCATGCGTGCACATTCAAATTGCATATGTTGCATATGGCACGTTGGGCGGACCCCTTCGATTTCGTTCAAAATCACAGGAATGATGCTCCTTGACCTCCTGAACACGAAAACAGTGCTACTTTTGACCGACATCAAAGACTTTTCCAGATATACGCATGCGTGCACATTCAAATCGCATATGTTGCATATGGCACGTTGGGCGGACCCCTTCGATTTCGCTCAAAATCACAGGAATGATGCTCCTTGACCTCCTGAACACGAAAATAGTGCTCCTTTTGACCGACATCAAAGACTTGTCCAGATATACGCATGCGTGCACATTCAAATTGCATATGTTGCATATGGCACGTTGGGCGGACCCCTTCGATTTCGCTCAAAATCACAGGAATGGTGCTCCTTGACCTCCTGAACACGAAAACAGTGCTACTTTTGACCGACATCAAAGACTTTTCCAGATATACGCATGCGTGCACATTCAAATTGCATATGTTGCATATGGCACGTTGGGCGGACCCCTTCGATTTCGTTCAAAATCACAGGAATGATGCTCCTTGACCTCCTGAACACGAAAACAGTGCTACTTTTGACCGACATCAAAGACTTTTCCAGATATACGCATCCGTGCACATTCAAATTGCATATGTTGCATATGGCACGTTGGGCGGACCCCTTCGATTTCGTTCAAAATCACAGGAATGATGCTCCTTGACCTCCTGAACACGAAAGTAGTGCTCCTTTTGACCGACATCAAAGACTTTTCCAGATATACGCATGCGTTCACATTCAAATTGCATATGTTGCATATGGCACGTTGGGCGGACCCCTTCGATTTCGTTCAAAATCACAGGAATGATGCTCCTTGACCTCCTGAACACGAAAACAGTGCTACTTTTGACCGACATCAAAGACTTGTCCAGATATACGCATGCGTGCACATTCAAATTGCATATGTTGCATATGGCACGTTGGGCGGACCCCTTCGATTTCGTTCAAAATCACAGGAATGGTGCTCCTTGACCTCCTGAACACGAAAACAGTGCTACTTTTGACCGACACCAAAGACTTTTCCAGATATACGCATGCGTGCACATTCAAATTGCATATGTTGCATATGGCACGTTGGGCGGACCCCTTCGATTTCGTTCAAAATCACAGGAATGATGCTCCTTGACCTGCTGAACACGAAAACAGTGCTACTTTTGACCGACATCAAAGACTTTTCCAGATATACGCATGCGTGCACATTCAAATTGCATATGTTGCATATGGCACGTTGGGCGGACCCCTTCGATTTCGCTCAAAATCACAGGAATGATGCTCCTTGACCTCCTGAACACGAAAATGGTGCTCCTTTTGACCGACATCAAAGACTTGTCCAGATATACGCATGCGTGCACATTCAAATTACATATGTTGCATATGGCACGTTGGGCGGACCCCTTCGATTTCGCTCAAAATCACAGGAATGGTGCTCCTTGACCTCCTGAACACGAAAACAGTGCTACTTTTGACCGACATCAAAGACTTTTCCAGATATACGCATGCGTGCACATTCAAATTGCATATGTTGCATATGGCACGTTGGGCGGACCCCTTCGATTTCGTTCAAAATCACAGGAATGATGCTCCTTGACCTCCTGAACACGAAAACAGTGCTACTTTTGACCGACATCAAAGACTTTTCCAGATATACGCATCCGTGCACATTCAAATTGCATATGTTGCATATGGCACGTTGGGCGGACCCCTTCGATTTAGTTCAAAATCACAGGAATGATGCTCCTTGACCTCCTGAACACGAAAATAGTGCTCCTTTTGACCGACATCAAAGACTTTTCCAGATATACGCATGCGTGCACATTCAAATTGCATATGTTGCATATGGCACGTTGGGCGGACCCCTTCGATTTCGCTCAAAATCACAGGAATGATGCTCCTTGACCTCCTGAACACGAAAACAGTGCTACTTTTGACCGACATCAAAGACTTTTCCAGATATACGCATGCGTGCACATTCAAATTGCATATGTTGCATATGGCACGTTGGGCGGACCCCTTCGATTTCGTTCAAAATCACAGGAATGATGCTCCTTGACCTCCTGAACACGAAAGTAGTGCTCCTTTTGACCGACATCAAAGACTTTTCCAGATATACGCATGCGTGCACATTCAAATTGCATATGTTGCATATGGCACGTTGGGCGGACCCCTTCGATTTCGTTCAAAATCACAGGAATGATGCTCCTTGACCTCCTGAACACGAAAACAGTGCTACTTTTGACCGACATCAAAGACTTTTCCAGATATACGCATGCGTGCACATTCAAATTGCATATATTGCATA